GCGTGCCAGGAGAATCCCTTGGGATCCCGGTGTTCCAGCGCCGCCTCACACCATTCCCTGTGCTTGGCCATCTCCAGGACAGACAGCTCCAGGAATTCCTGTGTGCCAACCGTCTCCTCGAAGCAGCGCAGGAGGCTGCCGGTGGCTCCAGCCCAGGCGTGGCACAGGGCCTGGAGCTGCTCTGCAGTGTTCCCACTCTTTTCCAGGAGCAGGGAAGGGAGGCTGCCCAGGAGGCTCCGCAGGTGCTCCACCCACTCCCGGATTTCCCTGGCAGTTTGGGATTTGGTGCACCGGGCCAGAACCAGCTCGGCCGCTCGGAGCATCTGCTGGGCCTGAGCGAAGAGGGCAGCGGTGAGGGGCTGGAGCTTCCTTAGAATTCCTCCTGGTCCTGCTGGAAAACACCCTGAACCAGCAAGAGCAAGGGCACCTTCAACTAACTGCCTCAGGGGCTCCTTCTCCTCAAAGAATCCCTCGAGGATTTGGCACAGAGTGGCCCTGAGCACCGTCCGGTCCAGGTTTTCCAGCTCCTCCCTCATGCTGTGACATTCCTGCTCCAATCCATGCTCTCCCTGACCCTGTCCTGGACATCCTTCCAACCGCCTCATGCTCTTCCTCAGCTGTAGCAGGACCCAGCAGCGTTCCACCAGCTCCAGCTGCAGATCCAGCCTGGATGAGTCTGCCAGCAGCATTCCATGGAGAACGACCGCTTCCAGGTGGGAGCTGAGCCCGCCCTCGGAGAGGCGCAGCCTGTCCGGGTGGGAGAGGAGATCCAGCAGCATGTTCACCTGCTGGGAGAAGACCCCACTCCTGTCCCGGGGCTCCGTGAGCAGGGAGAGGAGCTCCCTGATGGTCCCTTCTGCCAGCTGGAAAGCGTCGTCTCCGGAGAGGTCGGCTCGGGGATCCCTGGAATGCCTGAGGGCTCCGTGGAGCAGGGGGACACACCGGTGGAGGAGCTGCAGGGTGTGGGCCAAGCTCTTCCGTGCGGGACCATCCCCGAGTTCCTGGAGGCGCTTGGCTGTCAGGCGGCTCAGCAGGAGCACGGCCTCGGAGAAGGCCTGGAATGCTGCCAGGAGCCCTGGCGTGTCCCGGGCATCCCGCAGCACACACAGGCACTCCAGGAGCCGGCCGGCTGCCCGGGTGATCCGCCTCATCCCTGCAGCCTCTTCCAGCTGAAGGACCTAACCAGGGAATGAGGCACAAAATCCAGTCAGGAATTCCCATCCCTGTTTCATCCTGAAGCGGGGAGAAGGTGCGGTTTGCTCCACAGATCTGCTGGAGCTTCCCCAGCTCGCATCCCTTCCCACCTTCCCGCTCACCTTCGCTGTCTCTGTGAGGACTCTCCTGGTGGC